TAATGAACGCTATGTGAAAAATTTTGTTATCGCTTCCATTCTTCGCAAATAATTCAGAAAACATTTGTTCCCGTTTTCTTCCCTGTCAGAAAGTTCATGAGACTTTAGTTCCCAAACTGTTCTTCAAGAGAAAATTCCTTATACTTTTGTTCCCGCTTAGTTCTTTTTCAAAAAGTTCCGGATACTTTTGTTTCCATTTTGGTCGCTTAGAAATATTCCCAAAAGTATTGTATACGTTTCTTCTCTTTAAAAACATTTCACGGGGTTTTGTTCTTATATAATTCCCATTCGACAGTTTTGTTTGCATTTTGCTTTTGATTTTGAAGCGTTCATGACAACAAAACTACGAGCACGACATTTAGTTTCGATCAGACCTTTTGTTCTCGGCACCTGTTACGAACAATGGAAATAAGATTCGTATTTGTAGTGAGAATCAAGCTTTTCTTAAAGCAGTGGTCATTCCTTTAATTACTTGCAAACTAGCCCGGAAATGCAAGTCACGGCTCTGAGTTGTCAGAGTTTTGACTAGAATAGGCATTTTATCATGCCGATGGGCAAAACTCATGGAACCCCTAGTCTCAGATGCTTCTCCTTAGTTGGTTGGTGCCGCTGCTTGATTCTTCCGACAGGGTGAGAACATGATGTTTTTGGAACGAATTTTTGAACGAAAAATAACATTGAAAGTGGCACAATGCTGAAAGCATTTTATCTCCAAACCAAACTTCACTGGGGGTGAGGGAAATTCGTTTCAAGATACATCGCTGAGCTATGTAAGTATCTGCTGTCATAGAGCAGCCTAAATTACAGTCAACTTGTTGTTATATAAAGGGGGAAAACCCTGTTTAGCTGTCTTTTTTATGATGAGGTTCGAGGAAATATATAGAAATGGGAATATAGCATCATGTAAATGGCATATCTTCAAAAAAAAAATAAAAAAATGCGTTCCACTGCATGGTTAATATATTTTCCTACATACATACATACATACATACATACATATGTATGTACATCTTCCGGTAGCAAAGAATATTTTATAAAAATAATTACATCAATATTTATAAAATACGAGATCACTTAGCACCAACGCCAATAGCAAGAAATAAAAAACGGCATAAAATACATACAACAATAAGAAAAATATAAAGTCGCAAGAAGAACACAACAATTGTGCGCCTCAAGCCGATTGTTGCCTGTCTGAAATTTTTTTTTTGTCTACATCAGGGGTTCCCTAACTTTCTTCATTTCGCGGCTTACTTACTGACTTAGAGATTTGTCACGTCGCTCTAGTCAAGATTTACACTTCAATTACCTGCAGTTACGCTTATCTAGCGTATAAATGAAGGCCACTTTGAGGCTCCTATAGGTATTTACTTATTAGAAATCACATACAAGAACAAATATTTTCCAAAACCAAGTATACAAAAAACAACAGTTCTTCACAATTTTTTTCAAACCTTTGAAAATAAGGCTACATAGATACTGCAACTGTCGATATTTGCACTTTACTTCGCAAAAATATGTATAATGATGCCAAGGAAATGAGAGTCCTTAAAGCTTTTGAACTTAGGCTAGGATCCCGCCCACCTCGACGCGAGCTATGTGGGACTGATGCTGGGCGCAAGAAAAACGGCCGTAGGTTTTACCAGAGAGTTATGCGACTTACGGAAGGTTTCAAGACCAGGGCAAGCTAATGTAAGATCAAAAATTGCGATCTAGTGACTGATGTCCAGAACATACTTAAATAATGGAGGGAACACTTTTCCACACTACTGAATGGTAACTGCACTGAAAGCTGTGCAGAAGACGAACCCGAGCCCCCAGTCGATGATGACTGAGTCGATGTTCTACCACCTGACAAAACAACAAAGCTGCTGGAGCTGACAGCCTGACAGCTGACCTATTCAATTACGGTGGCGAGGAGTTGATAAGGTGCATGCACCAACGAACTGATTGGGCCGTATCAGTGTGGCATTTTACCTGGCAAATCCACCATAGACCAGGTATTCACATTACGCCAAATCTTGGAAAAGACTCACGAGAAAAGTATTGACACTCTCCATCCATTTCTCGACTTCAAAGCCGCTTTCGCGAAATGACGTTTAGCGAATTGATTGAGAAGGGCCTCCCCGAGCAGTTTAATACCAAACGTGGTTTCAGACAAGGTGCCTAACATTCGTGTGATTTCTTGAATCTGATGTTGGAGAAGATGATAAGAGCCGCAGAACTGAACAGCTCAGAAACAATTTACTACATGAGCGTGCAATTGCTGGCATATTCCAATGACATCGACATCATCGGTAGCAAAATCTGCGAAGTCTGTTCTGCCTTTTCCAAGTTGGATAAAAGCCCCGCCAAATAGAAGTTCTTACTGTGGCACAAGGATGCTTTTGAGTGACATCCAAGTTAACTCAATTATTTTGAATAGAAGACGCCACATTGGCTACGCATGCATTGCTGCAACTGATAAGAATCACCCAACACTCTATTTTTTACGCGCGCCAATTCGGCGAAACAATGCATCGAACGAATCAAACCAGCTGATTTTTGACCAATCAAATTGAGCCATTTTATTTATTGCAACGTTTTCATTGTTCCTTCTCGCCATGTTCTGTGCGTGTTGCCAGTCAAAAGCATCCCGGTGACGCAGAAAAGATTTTCTCTCTGGCGGGGTCTTAAGGAAGCAAAGCGATTAGGTCTGGTGGTCAACGAGGACAAGACAAAACTGTCACTGACGTCACTGTTGACAGTCATAATTTCGAGGAAGTAGAGAATTTCGTTTACTTGGGAACCAACATAAACACCAGTAATAATGTTTGCATCGAAATCCAACGCGGAATAAATCTTGCCAACAAAGGCTACTTTGGACTGAGTAGGCAATTCAGAAGTAAAGTCCTCACCCGGCGTACGAAAACAATACTATTTAAGTCACTCATCAAGTCCGGGGTGCTATGTGGCGCAAAAGCATGGACAATGACAACATCCGACGAGGTGGCTTTTCGAGTATTCGAGACAAAGATTTTTCAGAAGATTTACGGGCCTTTACGCGTTGCCGACGGCGAGTACCGCAGACTATGGAACGGTGAGCAGCGTATTAAAATACAGCAGCTCCGCTGGCTTGTAGAGTTGCAAAACTATCGATAGTGGCACCATCGATAGTTTTTGATAGTTTAAAAAAACTATTGATAGTCTTCGATAGTCTCCAAAAAAATAAACTATCGATAGTACTATCGATAGTACTATCGTATTTAAATGGTTCCTAGAAAGAATTTTTTAACTGCCAATAAATTCATATTTATTTTTGTACTTATGTATGTATGTACATTCAGAAACACATTCACATGTACACCTATGCCCAAAATATTAGAAACACGAAATTTTGACCAGTTTTTACTATTCTTTTCGTTAAATTTTTTATATACGGTTCATTAATTTTTTATAAATGTATAGCTCGTTATATAACAAAGACCATATAAATCTAAATTTCAAACTATGTACGAAAATTTGAAAAATTCAAGAAAGCATCCAAATTTCAAACTTTTATAACAAAGTGCAAGTTTGAAGTCGCTAAAAAATTGCGTAGATTTTTGATAATTTTTTTCTTTTTGCTGGTGGTGTTGCGCACTTTCTCCCATATAAAACAGTTTCGAACATACTGTGTATGGAAGGAAATGCGTGACACTGTCAGCAAAAAAAAAAGCCTATATTCAAAGTCATTTTCAGCAGGTTTCAAACTTGCACTTTATTATACTAATATAATCGACTACCAAAAGTTATTCTTAAAATTGTGATTATAAAAGTTCGAAATTTTGATGCTTTCTTGAATTTTTCAAATTTTCGTACATAGTTTGAAACTTAGATTTATTGGTCTTTGTTATATAACGAGCTATACATTTATAAAAAATTAATGAACCGTATACAAAAAAACTAACGAAAAAAATAGTAAAAACTGGTCAAAATTTCGTGTTTCTAATATTTTGGGCATAGGTGTGTATAAAAACTTAACAGAAAAGTGGAAAACAACGAACTTCTTTAACAATACGTATTCACGAGATCATCCATGAGTTTTTGTTTATAAAAAGGAGCATGTTTACATTTTTTTCTTTTAGTCTAGTACGCCTGTCGGATATTACGGCCCCAGCCTTGCTGAACATTTGTTCCGATTCGCTTGAAGTAGCTGGAATGCAGAGGTACCTGAGTGCTAAAATTTCTAAATGTCGCATATCAGACGTTCTAGTCTGAAATGTAGACATATTGTTAATAATACATATAGGCAATGCATTATCTGAAGTATTACCAACCTTCCAGTACTCCAATGGGTCTGAATTTAAAGGTTCATTGGGCTTTTCCGCATATTCACGTAAAGCGATAATAGAATCGGCTCTATTTGATTTTATTTTGCAGGAAAGTTTTTCTTTCATAAATTCCTAAATTTCAGGTACTTCCATACTTTTAGATGTTGACGGTTCCTGTATGTTGCCCTCCAATGTCGACGCAGTAATTCTTTTCACCTCAGCTAATTCATTTTCCAGTACAGCGAATGCTTGTGATACATTTTGAGCAGACCGAAAGCCTTCCTTTTTAAACCTCGGGTCTAATAGGGTAGCCAGCCTTTAAGCACTTCTGGTTTCGTAAATAAAAAGCCTCTGGTGAATTCTTTCGGCTAAGTACGTACATGTGTCTAATCCCACAGCTGTTTTCAATTTGCATTTCGACTTCAACATCGTGGAATATAAACCCCAGACTATAGGAATTATATGCGAAATCGTCACGTATTGGTTCCCCGATATAATGTTTGTATTTGCGTTGAATGGTCCCAATAATAAACACAAATCTTCAAGTTGCTCTACCTCGTCTGCTGTAAAAACCTGTGGTGCTTTTGGTGTGCTTAAAAGTACTGAAAATATTGCATCTTTGATGACTAAAATTCGTTGCATCATAGCAAACGCGCTATTCCACCTTGTAGGCACTTCCTGAATAAGGCTATACTGTTTTCCATCCCCCTACTCCTTCCTTAATCTTGCATAAGCAATAGTGCTGCTTTTAAAGTAGGCCACTATACGTTTGCATTTTGTTAGAATTACTTTGACCTTTTCCGTCGACAAAGCATCTTGCACTACAAGATTGATGGAATGTGCAAAACAGGGTAAATTTTTTTTCTCAAGAAGTTCGCAAGCCTTAAGCATTGAAGCAGCGGTGTCTGTAACCACGTAGTTAACTTTTTCAAGTATATTCCATTTGTTTAGGCACTCACGCAGTGATTGTGAAATATTTTCAGCTGAGTGATTCAGTTCATTTGCAAGCTTCGATGTCCCTAAAACAACCGATCGCAATTTAAATTCGCTGTCTATGAAATGGCACGTAACGGTGATATAGCTTTCATTCGCCTTTGATGACCAACCATCTGTAGTTATAGCACAGCTATCGATATTATTAAGGTTAGCTTGCAATTTTTTCTCCAAATCATCAAATATTTTCTGCAAATGAACATTTTGAATAGTAGGTCGGGATGGCAATTTATACCGCGGGTCCAGACACTGCACGAACTCCCTAAACCCCTTGTCTTCGACTATACGAAACGGTTGTATATCCGAAGCATTCATTCTTGCGAGAGCTGAATCCAGTTCTGCTTTCCGCGAGGAATTGCTTTCATAGGTGGAATTGGATTTTTTTGGAAAATAGCCTTCTAGTGTGGGGTCAGACTTTGTGGGTTCAATAAGCAAAGGGTGCGACCGCTTAAGATGATCCAAGAGGTTCGTAGTGTTTCCGCTCGTTTTGTACATTTTTTTACACGACAAACATTTGGCGTTCCTTTTGTCAGGGTGCAGCTTAAAATGTTTCCAAACATTTGAATTGCCCTTTCGTCGCTTTTTCCCAACAAGAATTTCTGTAAGTATTTTTAATAATATATTAAGTGTACTCATTTAAAAGCGCAAAGCTCTCGCAAACTGGGAAAACTGTGCAATTTAAATCCCTCGCAAATGAAATGCCAAAATTTTTACGGAAAGCCATTTGCACAAAAAGGCAAAGGGCGCTAATTTGCGCAGTGTATTGCGCAATCCTCTTCTTCTTCTTCTTATTTGGCGCTGTAACCGCCTAAGCGATTTTGG